GGATGTGACAGAAACTGAGAGGAGGCAGGGGACACCTTGTGGTTGGGCCAGCCTGGCATACCAGGACATGGCCTCCCATACCTCACCTATTTCTGCCATACACCCCTTTAAAAGCCCCAAGATGAACAGTTCAGGGGTGCCCTATTTTCTGGGACACACGCCTGCCATATAGGAGCCCTGCCCTCTGCCCCTCCAATTCCTACCTATTCCATCTATAACAAACTTTTCCTAACACCCGCTGGGGCCTGGGAATGTAATCTTTGAGTGTGAGACTGATTCAGAGCAGCCTTGGCGGCTGTGGAGTTTCCACAGCCCAAACCCACCAAGCCAGGCAGGCTCACCAAGCTGAGAAAGTCACTGCTGCTCTCAAGTACACCCCAAGTCCTCCTACCTTGTCACCTCAAGACATTTAAAAAGATTTATTTTTAATGATGTGTGTGTGGGGGGGTACGTGGACATGCGTGCGGTGCCCTCAGAAGCCAGAAGACTGCCTGGCATGGGCGCCGGGAACTCTGGCTTCCCCAGAGCAGTGCAGCTCTTACCCGCTGAGCCGTCTCCGCGGCCCCTCTCCTGGACTTGCTCTAGCACACTTGATGACTGAGGAGCAGGCCTCAGCTTTGAAGGATTTCAGTGTAATCAGTAAGATTTTTTCAGAAACAGCCTTAGCGTGAGTTAGTGGTGGTGGTGTTTTTATTTTTTTTCAAAATGGGAAAATTCTAAGTGTCATTGTTCCCACACTTCTTAAAGCAGTGATGCTCCTTTACTGCCCTCTCAAGGTTTTCAAAGCTTTTCTCCATTAACAAAAATTTAAAAAGCCCAAATAGCATCTTAAAACCATACCTAAGGGCTCATAATGTAAACAATTGTGATTGTTCACCACTTAAAAAACTTCAGCAACATTTGTCTTAAGTTTCTGTTTCTGTGAAGAGACACCATGACCATGGCAACTCTTATAAAAGGAAAACATTTAATTGGGGCTGGCTTACAGTTTCAGAGCTTTAGAATCATAGTGGGAAGTAAGGCAGCATGCAGGCAGACATGGTGCTGGAGAAGCTGAGAGTTCTTACATCTTGACTCACAGGCAACAGGAAGTGGTCTGAAATACTGGGCATAGCTTGAGCATATATGGGACTTCAAAGCCCGCCTCCACAGTGACACACTTCCCCCAACAAGGCCACACCTCCTAATAGTGCCATTTCCTTTGGTGTGGTCATTTTCTTTTAAACCACCACAACCTTCTTCATGCTTGCTGTGTGGGCAGGCGGCTATTTATGTCCCAGTAAGATTATTTGGGGGTGGAGCTGGGAAATGGCTCTGTGGTCGAGTGCTTGCTCCTCTTACAGAGAAACTGAGTTGAGTTCCCAGCATCCACACACCCACACAGGGTGATTCACCATCACCTATAACCCCAGCTCCATATCTGATGCCCCCTTCTGGCCTCTGTAAGCACTGCACTCACATGCACAAACCCCCAGACACATACACATAACTGAAAAACAAAAAACAAAAACAAAATTATTTGAGGACTTTTGAATCCTTAAATACACAATTGAAAATACTTTGCATACAAATTAATAGGAAGGAGCAAAAATCTTTCCTTAAACATAATTCTCTGGTTTTAAATCCCAACACTGCTGATTTCAGCTGCACATACACAAATTTGGACCAAGAGAAATCAGCATGGCCCCTGTATAAGAACAACATGCAAATTCCTGTTTGAGATTTAAGGTATTTATTTTACAAATTGTGCACCTGTAAGGTTTATCAACAATAAGATAAGAAGTTCAGTGAGTTTATACTATAATTTTGTAGGAAAAAATAATCTACTCAGTTATATTTTATTGATGAAAAAACCTATATTATCAGCAGATTTATTTATTTTTGGTTTTTTGAGACAGAGTCTCTCTGTGTAGCCCTGGCTGTCCTAGAACTAGTTCTGTAGACCAGACCGGTCTTGAACTCACAAGAGATCTGTCTGCCTTTGCTTCCCGAGTGCTGGGATTAAAAGTATGTGCCACCACCACATGGCATATTGGCAGCTTTAAGGAATAAAACAGAAATACGAACTGTAAAAGTCTTCTGTTGGATGTGGCTGGTCATCATCTTTGATTTGAGAATACTTCATAAAGAGAAATCAAATTATACATTAAGAGCATTTACTATTTTTTGTAGAGAACCTGAGTTCATTCCCAGCATTCACATTGTGCAGCTCACAACAGTCTCCAACTCCAAGAGATGTGATGCCCTCTTCTGGCTTCTGTGGGCTCCTGCATTCACACACACATCCCACATATACACTCATCCACACACACATTAAAAAAACACAATCAAGAAGGGTAACCACAATATAAATGACAAGTTCTATTATTTTATTGTATTTACTACCAACCTCTCTGCTGAATTTGCTGAGTTACAACTGACTAGATACTGTAAAATTTTCAGTTAGAACAAGACTCCTACCTGCTTGCTCCCTAGAAAATGGGGGAACATTTCACCTGCAAGGCCCTGTGAGAACTCAAGTGAGGTGAGGAGCGCAGGTCTGGGAAGCAGCCATGCCTGTCATCCCAGCACTCGGGATGTGGAGGCAGAAGGATCAGGAGTTCAAAGCCAGCCTCAGCTACATAGTCGTTCTGGAATTTGAGACCTGCCTAGGCTCCATGCGACTGTTTCAAGACAAAACAAAAAATCCAAATCTAAAGGGCAGCCTGGGAGGGGAGCTAACTGGCTTCCTGATTTCTGTGCCACTTGGGCAAAGTGAATGACCCCACTTCTCTCCACTCACTGAGGTGTCCGGGCAGGCTTAAAGCCAGCTTTCCCTATGCAGTGTCTGCTTCACCTCCAGAACTATAGCTGTTTACACTGTAATTTTTAAAAAACCAACCCACCGACACTTATTCTGCCATTTTTACCTCTAAGCCACCTTGTAATTGTGTTCCTTTCTGGGGTGCAGAGCAGTGCTTTGGTAGGGGTGCATATTGCAGTGACATTTTCATCACACCGTGACGGCCTTTTTACTACTAGTATTGTGGAGAGGGGCTGTGGTGAAGAAATGAACCAGCCCCCATAGGCTCACATATTTGAATGCTTAGTCACCAGGAACTGGAACTGTTGAGAAGGATGAAAAAGATTAGAAGGTGTGGCCTCATTTGAGCAAGTGTAGCCTTGCTGGAGGAAGGTGGCTGTTGAGGTTTCAAAAGCCACACCAGGCCCAGTCTCTCTTTCTGTTGCCTGATGATGTAGAACTCTCAGCTACTTCTCCAGCACCATGACTGACTTCATGCCCCCAATGTTTCCCGCCATGATGATAATGGACTGAGCCTCCAAAACTGTACACAAGCCCCCAATGAAACAATTTCCTTGGTAAGAGTGTGCCATGGCCATGGTGTCTTTTTATGGCACCAGAGAGTGACACATTGCTGTGCTGGGGCCTGACTACGCTATTTGTTGGAGGACTATGGAAGACTTCGGAACTTGTGGACCAGAAAAGCAGTTGAATGATTTAAGCAGGACTTACTGGTCCATCCTAGTAACTGGAACACAGGTAGTGGTGCTGAGGGCCATGTGAGCTGTGGGTGGCCCAGCTCAAGAAACTTAAGAGGGGAAGAATATTAGCAGCTGGCCTAGAGACCATCCTGTTATATTTTGGCAAAGAATGGCTGCTATTTACTATTGCCCTAAAAATCTGCCTGAGGCAAAGTTGGGAAGTTTTAGATTAATGGTGTTGGCAGAGATTCCTGGACAGCCTAGCACGGATTGTGTTGTGTGGTTACTAGTGATGACTTTTCTGAAGATATATGAGAAGGGTCAAGTGGGGCGGGAAGAAACACAAAACGGACAGTTTGAAAAGAAAAGGAGAAGGGTAATGGTGCCAAGTCCTGTGCTTAAGGAGATAATGTTTAAAGCCTCGTGCTAAATGGAACAAGGGGAGTGGTCTCAGGGAAAGACTGCCCAGCTGAGCCTCCAAATTGTGAAAAGTAATGAAAGGAAATCTTTGTAGTGAAGGAAATCAGTAAAAACATAAGGCTTATGAAATGCAATGCAAGGAGGGGCCCAGGTTATAGCCCAGCAAGGAGATGAACTTGGCAGCTTTGGCCACATGGCTCTCTACCCTAAGAGTCAAGGATAGAGGAAAGCGTTTGTGCAGTCTTCCTCTGTTGTTAAAGTCACCAAGGACAGGCAGTCCTTGCATGAAGGTCCAGAGAGGCCATTGTACAAAGCTGTGAAGGTGAAGCCTGGATTGCATTGGAAACCCTGAGATGTTGCAGATGCCAGAGTCGTAGGATACCTGCCAGGCTGCTAACGGGGAAACCAGCCTAAGAGACGTGTGTTGCAGGCAATACGAGTTGGAAATCTGAAGAACACTTTGACATCAAACATGGAGATGCCGAGTTTGGAGTTTGCCCTGCTGAGTTTTAATTCTTGCTTTGGTCCAATATTTTCCTCCCTTCCTCCCTATTAGAATAGTAATGTATATCCTGTGCCATTATATGCTGGAAGTATTTTTGATTTGCTTTTTGATTGTTATTTTACAGGGGATTACAGTTAAGAGATTGCCATGAGTCTAAGAAGAGATTTTGAACTTTTAAATAGTGTTGAGACTGCTATAGACTATGGGGACTTGAAGTTGGACTGCACGAATTTTTGCTTTATGATATGGCCAAAGAGGGCCAGGGAGCAGAATGTGACAGTTTGAATGAGCATGACCCCCATAGACTCATATATTTTGAATGTCTGGTTACCAGGGAGCAGAACTGTTTGGGAGGGATTAAAAGTATTAGGTGGTGTGGCCTTGCTGGAAGTGTCACTATGGGTGGGCTTTGACATTCCAAAATCCCACATCAGGCCTAGTCTCTCTCTAGCTGAGGATCACGAGGTAAAGCTCTCAGCTATTGTTCCAGCGCCATGCTTGTCTGCACACTGCCATGATGGTGATGGATTAAGACTGAAACTGTAAGCAAGCGTCCAAATGAACGCTTTCCTTTTTAAGAATCAACTTGGTCATGCCTTAAACTTATGAGTAAGGAAATTAACGATTCGGGGTTGTAGCTGGAGAGTTTTCTCTCTGGGTCCCGCCAAGCCCCAGCAATCCAACAGTCCACTTATTGTTTCCCTCTGCCTTCCTGTTCTCTCAAATCTCCTGTTAGTCCCGCCTATACTTCCTGCCTGGCTACTGGCCAATCAGTGTTTTTATTGACCAATCAGAGCCAACACATTTGACATACAGACCATCCCACAGCACAGGGTGATGCCTGAGTCCCCATTGCTGACGTGAGAAGAATTTTTGAGTGGGTAAAGGTTGCTCCCTAAGGCGACCCACCTACCTTGCAGGATGCCTGGGTGTGGTAGTCTGCCCGACCCCCTATGTTAAAGAAAATCAGAAAGTTGACAAAGCTGTCTGCATAGCTGTCCTGAGACTGCATCCTCTGTGTGCTGTGGGATGTCCTGTATGCTGTAAATATATGTAGCTATGATTGATTGATAAATAAAACACTGATTGGCCAGTAGGCAGACAGGAAGGATAGTGTAGGCAGGACAAGGAGAATGCTGGGAGGTGAAAGGCTGAGGCAGGGAAATGCTGCCAGCTGCCACGAGAAGCATGATGTAAAATACTGGTAAGCCACGAGCCATGTGTCAAGGTATAGATTTATAGAAATGGGTTAATTTAAGATGTAAGAACAGATAGCAAGCAGCCTGCCACGGCCATACAGTTTATAAGTAATATAAGCGTCTATGTGTTTATTTTATAAGTGGGCTGCAAGTCTGTGGGGACTTGGTGGGACCCGGAGAGAAACTCTCCAGCTACATGTGTGGTCAGGGGCTGTCTTCCAAATAAACCATGTTTATCTGCTCTCCCCACCCCCCGCCCCCGCCCCCAAAATCAACTTGGTCATGGTGTCTCTTCATGGAAATAGAACATGGGTGTTCAGGGCATGTGTTTGCTGTCAAGCCTGACACTGAATTTGATTCCTCTGTCCCACTTGTCCTCTCTTCTCTATACCCACATCATGGCATACATGCTCAGATCTGTGCATTCAATCCATGTAATAAAAAACTCAGGCACTTACCTGGCATGTGTAAGGCGCTGGGTTTAACCCATGGCACACAGGTTAATCTTTCCTTATGGGAATTTGTTTCCAGTTATGTTGGATTGCTACTACCAACTTCCTGCAAGGATGTCACAATAGACACTTTAGAGGGGCAAAGGGGGAAAGCTATTCACTCTTGACTTAAATGGCTAGCCAATCTAGGCTGGGTTAAGTAGAGGATGTTCACTGCTCAGAGTGCTTCCCTGCCTGAGTCCTCCCCATCAGAAAGACATGGATACTTACAAGAATGCCTATTTCCTTGTAGAGAGGGTTGTAAATGAAGTCAAGCAAATGTGCTTGTCTGGATCAAGTATGAAAGGTTTTTCATTCAGAAGAACAGGAGCAACAACAGACTTTTCACTGATTGTTTTCTAAGCCTGTGAATTGTGAACAAGTTCCTAGTGGCCCATTCAGTGAAAATAAGCAAAACAGCCACACTAGTAAGGCGTTAAAGCTATGGAGACTGTCCGATCCATCTAAGCACCCATCCCAGCACTCAGGAGGCAGAGCCAGGCAGATCTGGGGCCAGTCTGATCTACAGAGCGAGTCCCAGGACAGCCAGGGCTACGCAGAGAAACCCTGTCCACTATAATCTAAGCACCCATGTACTTTTGTCATGTAGGACTGAAGAAGCATTTTCCACCCTCTACATTACTGGATCTGAAGAAATTAAGCTGGATCTTTTTTAGAAATGACAGCAAACTTTTCAGTAGGTGTTCCTAAGTTCTCCATGGTGTTAATCAAACCTAGGGCTTCCCATATGCTAAGAAAGCAGTCTACCACCACACTACATCCCAGGTCCTTGCTGGTTGGTATCTAGAAATGATTCACTGGGCCATGGCCCCAAGACAGGGGTGTTAACTGTCATCAAGATAATTACAGCTAGTACCCAATTCAGTACTTGAGTTAAATCATCCCAATTATCACCAACACTCGGGAACACACAAATTAGGAAACCTTTGGAGGTACTGCCACTGTTCTGGACCTCACAGAAGTTAGTGTGGCTTTGGTGGGGTGTTGCTAAAGCCACAGGTCTAGGCAGTTTGGGGAGGGGCAGAGAGCCCTGGGAGTGGACCTCTTCCATCTGCAGTCAGCTATGGGGACTTTGAGGCAGCCAGGACCCCACTTGTATCCGCTCTTGCTTTGTACTCCTCTGCTGGACTTCATAGGGTTTACCCTTCAGTGGAGCTCGGCAGGCCACCAGGGGCAGCTGCACGCCAGCTGGGCACTTCCTTCAGCTCTGACTCCCAGCCTCTGGAGTTCTGGATCCCTGGTGAGGCAGAAGGAAGCGGTGGCACCTAGCAGACACCTTCTACCCCCCCCCCCCCACTGTCCAGGCCAGTCTCTCCTTAAGGAGCACCTCCTCTCAGTGTGACTCCACTTCTTGCTAGCTCTCCATTGTTTTCTTCAGACACTTGCAACGTAGGCGTCTGGCTTTTCCTACATGGACTGGGGCAATCTTTTCCTATGAGAACAGTTCATGGACACCAGACGGAAGGCTTGTGTTTTTGAAGAAAGAACCTTTTTCATTTTTCTGATGCTCTGGGAATGCACCCAGGGCCTTGCATGTGCTTGCCCGGCACCTTACCACTGAGATGTCCAGCAGGAATCAACTGTGAAACTGTGACTTGTGCCACAGCCTGCTCAGAAGTTTCGGCTCTTCCTTTTACTGAAGATTGAGCCCAGGGCCTCACACTTGCTAGACAAGTCACAAACTGTAGCACCAGTCTTCCTTTAGAGTATGGGTCTCATGTTGCTGGATGTTATTTTCTGAGACAAGGATCTCAAGTTGCTCAGGCTAGCTTCCAATTTGCTATGTAGCCAGAGATGACCTTAAATTCCTGATCCTGTCTGAAACACATCTGGTTTACACAGGCCTGAAGCCAGGATTCATGCATACCAGACAAGCACTGAACCAGCTGAGCCGCTTCCCCTGAACCCACAGTCTCAGGGGCTGGCAAGATGGCTCAGTGGGTAAAGGTGCTTGCTGCCAAGGCTGGCAGTCTGAGCGGGCCTGGAACTTACACAGTGGAAGGAGAGCCAACTCTGGTAACTTGTCCTTTGTCCTTCATGCAACACCACAGAACATGCAATATTAATAAATGTACTAAAAGAATTAAAACAAAACTCTAGCAACTTGTCCTGACCTCCATATGACACCATAGAACATGCATGTTTATAAATGTACCAAAATAGTAATTAAAACCAATAAAACTCTATTAGGAGCTTGAGAGATAGCTCAGTGGTTAAGAGCATGTACTGGCTCTTACAGAGCACAGGAATTTAGTTCCCAGCACTCACAACTCCCAGGATCTGATGCCCTCTTCCGACCTCCTCAGGACTGCAGGCAAAGAGTACCCAGACTTACATACACAGCAGGCTAGCACTCATGCACAAAACAAAGCAAACAAGTCCCATAAAGACGAAGAGAGGAAATGGATGCAACAATAATCTAGGCAGATGGGGCAGGGCTGAGGGAAACATTTAGTTGGCTACTTAGCCTTTTGAATTGTCTACTTGTTGATAATCCTTCAAGACAATAAATGCTTGGTTACTATAAACAAATGCTTACCAATTGTGCATCCCCCATTTATTAGGAGACCAGTTGCATCAAGAGTATTTATTTACTTATTGACATTTGCTAAGCCAAGCTACAACCTGAACTGTGATAAAGGTGCCTCGCATTACAGAGTATCCAGTTACCACTGAGAGACAGTTTTACTTCTAATTTACAGCATTAAAAATACTAAAAAATTGGGTTATGCTGAGTGTGCACTGTTACAAAATTTTCAGAAATGGTAGAGCCATACAGTTACTCCCTCCAAAAGTTTGAATTCATAAAATGTCCCACTCACTGGCATGCAAGGCCACTTAAGAGTGGTACAGACAGGGAAAAACCACAAATTCCCCCATCCAAGTGTGTATAACCAGGTAACATAAAGAACCTAGTCACCGGGCATCTTAGTTGAGTTGGTTGTTTCATGCACACAGAGGTCCCTCCCTAGTACCTGTCCTCCCCACCTCAATTCAATGCCAGTCTTGCGCTTGCCGGTTGGCATGTGTACCACCAATGCACTTCTCAGGGCTCGTGGGCCTTGCTGGTGCTTAATGATCCCACTAGTGCTTGATGCGAAGGTACCTGCTCTCACAAGTACTTAGCCCAGTGCAAACACTAGCTCTCTCCAAACATCTCCTGACCACACTACCACCCCTACTTGGCAGGTGGGCCATGTTTCTCATGAGCTTCTTTTCTGAGAGTGCAGGAGCACTCTAGTAAACAGAAGCCCAATCCACAGTGCACGGGCACCAGCACCCAGCCCTGCCTCAGGCTGGAGCAGAGAGAGCTGCTGCACCACCGGTGCCTGCTTTCCTCCCCAGGGAACACAGTACCAAGCTCCCTTCTCCAAGAGGCCCAGAGCACCCGCTGGAAGCACTGACTACTGCCGAAGTCACTGACATATATATTTTCTGCCAGATCCCGCAGTATCCAGACTAACCATGCGGTAGTTAGAAGCTGAACATTTAGTCTAAGGACACGCGCTAACCAGTGAGCTGTCTAAATAGAATCCATTTTATCTTCCATTTCATTCCAAATTTTGTTTTAATGAAGTAATGCAAATCATTTAAAGAAAGAAATGTTTAATTTTAAATTCTGATTTATGCATAAAACTCATTTTTTATCACAGTTAAATTTAGTATAAACTATGAAAATGTTAACACTGAGGTTTCAACAGAAATCTATTAAGATCCCTTAGAAAATTATTTAAAGAAACAACAGCTAGTCAGTTACTGTTCTGAGATTAACACATAAAGAAAAAAAATTTCATTTTACTGAGCTTTTCAGTAAATAATTTTAGCCATAATACCTGTAAAATTAAAAAATTCAATGCTGTGTGTGGCTCTACAGTAATTACAATCTGCAATGAAAATACTAAGCCAAAATCTTGTTTATCTAGTAAGAACAATCCTAGTTTTTAAAAGCTGGCTGAATTTGCAAACCTTAAGAATACCAGTTGTGAACAGAATAGTCATATAAGTGAGCTTGAATTACCGTGAAGACTGCAAAGACAGGACACATTTTCAAGGCTGTACTGCAGAGAAAATGTGGAGGAAAAACACTCAGAACCAGAACTATCCTTTAAAAAAATATCAGGTCACTCTCTATGAAAACAGGAAAGGAATCACAGGCAGACATACTAAGTTTTACACAAGCCTCTTTGTATTTCAATGCTGTTTATTGAGGAGTGAACGAGACCACTGCAGACATG